CGACGCGCAACAGAAACATCCTGGATGAAGCAGCAAATCTTCCAGAAAAAAAAAACCCCACCGTATTACAACGTTGTGTGCAAAAATCCCAGTATGAGGCAAGTCAAACAATAACAACCACAAGATAATTTAGATTCAAGTTATCAGGACAACTCCGCACTTCCGCAAGAAACATGGCTTTACCATATGTTTAAGAAATCACCAAAATGAAGCTATAAAATACAATGTAACAACAGTAATCATAGAAACTTTGATTAAAATTTTACAATAAACGATATACATAACATGTACGACCAAACTTGCAGCCATAGCTGGCAGCATGACACTCCCAGTGTATGATGTGTGAGTGAGTCAGCAGCAGCGTGAGTGAGTGTATGATGTGTGAGTGAGTCAGTGGTAGTGTGAGTGAGTGTATGATGTGTGAGTCAGCGTATGATGAGTGAGTCAGTGTATGATGTGTGAGTGAGTCAGTGTATGATGAGTGAGTGAGTCAGTGTATGATGAGTGAGTGAGTCAGTGCATGATGAGTGAGTGAGTCAGTGTATGATGAGTGAGTGAGTCAGTGCATGATGAGTGAGTGAGTCAGTGTATGATGAGTGAGTAAGTGTATGGTGCGAGTGAGTCAGTGTATGATGTGTGAGTGAGTCAGTGTATGATGTGTGAGTGAGTCAGTGTATGATGAGTGAGTGAGTCAGTGTATGATGAGTGAGTGAGTCAGTGTATGATGAGTGAGTCAGTGTATGATGAGTGAGTCAGTGTATGATGTGTGAGTGAGTCAGTGTATGATGAGTGAGTGAGTCGGTGTATGATCAGTGAGTGACTCAGTGTATGATGAGTGAGTCAGTGTATGATGAGTGAGTGAGTCAGTGTACGATGTGTGAGTAAACCAGTGTATGATGTGTGAGTGAGTCAGTGTATGATGTGTGAGTGAATCAGTGTACTAGTGAGTCAGTGTATGATGTGTGAGTCAGTGTATGATGTGTGAGTGAGTCAGTGTATGATGTGTGAGTGAGTGTATGATGTGTGAGTGAGTCAGTGTATGATGTGTGAGTGAGTCCGTGTATGATGTGTGAGTGAGTCAGTGTATGATGTGTGAGTGATTCAGTGTATGATGTGTGAGTGAGTCAGTGTATGATGTGTGAGTGAGTCAGTGTATGATGAGTGAGTGAGTCAGTGTATGATGTGTGAGTAAGTCAGTGTATGATGTGTGAGTGAGTCAGTGTATGATGTGTGAGTGAATCAGTGTACGAGTGAGTCAGTGTATGATGTGTGAGTCAGTGTATGATGTGTGAGTGAGTCAGTGTATGATGTGTGAGTGAGTGTATGATGTGTGAGTGAGTCAGTGTATGATGTGTGAGTGAGTCCGTGTATGATGTGTGAGTGAGTCAGTGTATGATGTGTGAGTGAGTCAGTGTATGATGTGTGAGTGAGTCAGTGTATGATGTGTGAGTGAGTCAGTGTATGATGTGTGAGTGAGTCAGTGTATGATGAGTGAGTGAGTCAGTGTATGATGTGTGAGTAAGTCAGTGTATGATGTGTGAGTGAGTCAGTGTATGATGTGTGAGTGAATCAGTGTACGAGTGAGTGAGTGCGTGTATGATGTGTGAGTGAGTCAGTGTATGATGTGTGAGAAAGTCAGTGTATGATGTGTGAGTCCGTGTATGATGTGTGAGTGAGTCAGTGTATGATGTGTGAGTGAGTCAGTGTATGATGTGAGTGAGTCAGTGTATGATGAGTGAGTGAGTCAGTGTATGATGTGTGAGAGAGTCAGTATATGATGTGTGAGTGAGTCAGTGTATGATGTGTGAGTGAGTCAGGGTATGATGAGTGAGTTAGTCAGTGTATGATGAGTGAGTGAGTCAGTGTATGATGAGTGAGTGAGTCAGTGTATGATGTGTGAGTGAGTCAGTGTATGATGTGAGTGAGTCAGTGTATGATGAGTGAGTGAGTCAGTGTATGATGTGTGAGAGGGTCAGTGTATGATGCGTGAGTGAGTCAGTGTATGATGTATGAGTGAGTAAGTGTATGATGTGTGAGTGAGTCAGTGTATGATGAGAGGGTCAGTGTATGATGCGAGAGTGAGTCAGTGTATGATGTGTGAGTGTGTCAGTGTATGATGAGTGAGTGTGTCAGTGTATGATGAGTGAGTGAATCAGTGTATGATGTGTGAGTGAGTCAGTGTGTGATGAGTGAGTGAGTCAGTGTATGATGAGTGAGTGAGTCAGTGTATGATGAGTGAGTGAGTCAGTGTATGATGAGTGAGTGAGTCAGTGTATGATGAGTGAGTGAGTCAGTGTATTATGAGTGAGTAAGTGTATGATGTGTGAGTAAGCGTATGATGTGTGAGTGAGTCAGGGTATGATGAGTGAGTCAGCGTATGTTGAGTGAGTGAGTCAGTGTATGATGAGTGAGTGAGTCAGTGTATGATGAGTGAGTGAGTCAGTGTATGATGAGTGAGTGAGTCAGTGTGTGATGAGTGAGTGAGTCAGTGTGTGATGAGTGAGTGAGTCAGTATATGATGTGTGAGTGAGTAAGCGTATGATGTGTGAGTGAGTCAGGATATGATGAGTGAGTTAGTCAGTGTATGATGAGTGAGTGAGTCAGTGTATGATGAGTGAGTGAGTCAGTGTATGATGTGTGAGTGAGTCAGTGTATGATGTGAGTGAGTCAGTGTATGATGAGTGAGTGAGTCAGTGTATGATGTGTGAGAGAGTCAGTGTATGATGTGTGAGTGAGTCAGTGTATGATGTATGAGTGAGTAAGTGTATGATGTGTGAGTGAGTCAGTGTATGATGAGAGAGTCAGTGTATGATGCGAGAGTGAGTCAGTGTATGATGTGTGAGTGTGTCAGTGTATAATGAGTGAGTGTGTCAGTGTATGATGAGTGAGTGAATCAGTGTATGATGTGTGAGTGAGTCAGTGTGTGATGAGTGAGTGAGTCAGTGTATGATGAGTGAGTGAGTCAGTGCATGATGAGTGAGTGAGTCAGTGTATGATGAGTGAGTGAGTCAGTGTATGATGAGTGAGTGAATCAGTGTATTATGAGTGAGTAAGTGTATGATGTGTGAGTAAGCGTATGATGTGTGAGTGAGTCAGGGTATGATGAGTGAGTCAGCGTATGATGAGTGAGTGAGTCAGTGTATGATGAGTGAGTGAGTCAGTGTATGATGAGTGAGTGAGTCAGTGTATGATGAGTGAGTGAGTCAGTGTGTGATGAGTGAGTGAGTCAGTGTGTGATGAGTGAGTGAGTCAGTGTATGATGTGTGAGTGAGTAAGCGTATGATGTGTGAGTGAGTCAGCGTATGATGAGTGAGTGAGTCAGCGTATGATGAGTGAGTGAGTCAGTGTATGATGAGTGAGTGAGTCAGTGTATGATGAGTGAGTGAGTCAGTGTATGATGTGTGAGTAAGTGTATGATGTGTGAGTGAGTCAGCGTATGATGAGTGAGTGAGTCAGTGTATGATGAGTGAGTGAGTCAGTGTATGATGAGTGAGTCAGTGTATGATGAGTGAGTCAGTGTATGATGAGTGAGTGAGTCAGTGTATGATGTGTGAGTCAGCTTATGATGAGTGAGTGAGTCAGTGTATGATGAGTGAGTGAGTGAGTGTATGATGAGTGAGTAAGTGTATGATGTGTGAGTGAGTCAGCGTATGATGAGTGAGTCAGTGTATGATGAGTGAGTGAGTTAGTGTATGATGAGTGAGTGAGTCAGTGTATGATGAGTGAGTGAGTCAGTGTATGATGCGTGAGTGAGTCAGTGTATGATGTCAGTGAGTCAGTGTATGATGTGAGTGAGTCAGTGTATGATGTGAGTGAGTCAGTGTATGATGAGTGAGTGAGTCAGTGTATGATGAGTGAGTGAGTCAGTGTATGATGAGTGAGTCAGTGTATGATGAGTGAGTCAATGTATGATGAGTGAGTGAGTCAGTGTATGATGAGTGAATGAGTCAGTGTATGATGAGTGAGTGAGTCAGTGTGTGATGAGTGAGTGAGTCAGTGTATGATGAGTGAGTAAGTCAGTGTGTGATGAGTGAGTGAGTCAGTGTATGATGAGTGAGTCAGTGTGTGATGAGTGAGTGAGTCAGTGTATGATGAGTGAGTGAGTCAGTGTATGATGAGTGAGTGAGTCAGTGTATGATGTGTGAGTAAGTGTATGATGTGTGAGTGAGTCAGCGTATGATGAGTGAGTGAGTCAGTGTATGATGAGTGAGTGAGTCAGTGTATGATGAGTGAGTCAGTGTATGATGAGTGAGTCAGTGTATGATGAGTGAGTGAGTCAGTGTATGATGTGTGAGTCAGCTTATGATGAGTGAGTGAGTCAGTGTATGATGAGTGAGTGAGTGAGTGTATGATGAGTGAGTAAGTGTATGATGTGTGAGTGAGTCAGCGTATGATGAGTGAGTCAGTGTATGATGAGTGAGTGAGTCAGTGTATGATGAGTGAGTGAGTCAGTGTATGATGAGTGAGTGAGTCAGTGTATGATGCGTGAGTGAGTCAGTGTATGATGTGAGTGAGTCAGTGTATGATGTGAGTGAGTCAGTGTATGATGAGTGAGTGAGTCAGTGTATGATGAGTGAGTGAGTCAGTGTATGATGAGTGAGTCAGTGTATGATGAGTGAGTCAATGTATGATGAGTGAGTGAGTCAGTGTATGATGAGTGAATGAGTCAGTGTATGATGAGTGAGTGAGTCAGTGTGTGATGAGTGAGTGAGTCAGTGTATGATGAGTGAGTAAGTCAGTGTGTGATGAGTGAGTGAGTCAGTGTATGATGAGTGAGTCAGTGTGTGATGAGTGAGTGAGTCAGTGTGTGATGAGTGAGTGAGTCAGTGTGTGATGAGTGAGTGAGTCAGTGTATGATGAGTGAGTAAGTCAGTTTACGATGTGTGAGTGTATCACGGCCTTCTTCCCGCCATCGCGATACCCCCCCCCTTCTCCCCCCCCTTCTCCCCCCTCCTTTACTCTCCTTTCCCCCCACCCCCCCCCCCCCCCCCCCCCCTCAGGTGTGCGTGAAGGGCACCGACTGCCTGCTCTGCTGCTCCGGCCGTGGCCTCTTCGTGCACCTGGGCGAGGCGGCCCCTCTGAGCCCCCTTGTGGGCCCCCTCTATGGGGGTCTCGCCGTTCGCGCAGGGCCCCACAACCCCGCGATGGCGCTGCGGCTCGTGGAGGAGGAGGAGGAGGAGGAGGCCCGCGTGGCCTTCAGAAGGGACGCGGCCTCCTCCTCCTCATCCTCATCCTCCTCCTCCGCGGCCGCCGCCGAGCCACGAGTCCACCCGCGGGGGTCGCTGCGGTTGCCCGACGCCACGGCCGTGGGCCCCGGGACCGGAGTAGACGGCGGGGTGCGGGCGTGGGCCGGCCCTCCGCTCCTGCCGCCCACGCTCGAGCTGGGGCCGGGCGGAGCGAGACTGGCGGAGCGAGGCGTGCGGTCGAGCGGCGGCGGCGACGGCGGCGGTGGCGGTGACGGTGGTGGTGGTGACGGTGACGGCGGTGGCGGTGACGGCAGGGAAGTGAGCAAGCGGTACGGCGGCTTCATGCGAAGGGTCGGCCGCCCCAAGGGCCGCTGGCCGAAGCGCGCCAAGAAGAAGCGCTACGGCGGATTCATTCACCGCTTCTTCGGCCTCGCGATCCGCTCGCCGCGCCTCGCGTAGCGCATCCACGCCGCCTCGTCGTGGAGGAGGAGGAGGAGGAGGGGGGAGTGGTGGTGATGAGGTGGGGGTGATGAGGAGGGGGTGGTGATGAGGAGGAGGGGGTGGTGATGAGGAGGAGGGGGTGGTGATGAGGTGGGGGTGGTGGTGATGAGGAGGAGGGGGTGGTGATGAGGTGGGGGTGATGAGGAGGAGGGGGTGGTGAGGAGGAGGAGGTGGTGGTGATGAGGAGGAGGGGGTGGTGATGATGAGGAGGGGGTGGTGATGAGGACGAGGGGGTGGTGATGAGGAGGAGGGGGTGGTGATGATGAGGAGGGGGTGGTGATGAGGAGGAGGGGGTGGTGATGAGGGGGTGGTGATGAGGAGGAGGAAGTGGTGGTGATGAGGTGGGGGTGATGAGGAGGGGGTGGTGATGAGGAGGAGGGGGTGGTGATGAGGTGGGGGTGATGAGGAGGAGGGGGTGGTGATGAGGAGGAGGGGGGAGTGATGATGAGGAGGTGGAGATGATGAGGAGGGGGGAGTGGTGATGAGGAGGAGGTGGTGGAGCAAGGTGGAGGAGGAGGTGGACCAGGATGTCGGGGTTGTTGCAGTCTTTGCGCGAGCGCCGTTTGTGATTGGACACGCGGCCGTGGCTGGGGGCGAGGGGACCGTGGGGGGTGGGGGCTAGGGGGGTGGGGGCTAGGGGGGTGGGGGCTAGGGGGGTGGGGGCTAGGGGGGTGGGGGCTAGGGGGGTGGGGGCTAGAGGGGGTGGGGGCTAGGGGGGTGGGGGCTAGGGGGGTGTCGTCTTCGCTATGTACGTTTCAGGTTGGTTTTAATCGCGTGGTAATCGCGGTGACAAATAAATAATAAAATAAATCTATGTCACGCACTCTCCTCCTTCTCTACTACCTCATCATCATCACCACATCATCATCATCACCTCATCATCACCACCACCTCATCATCATCACCACCTTATCATCACCACCACCTCATCATCATCACCACCTCATCATCACCACCACATCATCATCACCTCATCATCATCATCACCACCTCATCATCACCAACACCTCATCATCACCACCACCTCATCATCATCACCACCTCATCATCATCACCACCACCACCTCATCATCATCATCACCACCTCATCATCACCACCACCTCATCATCATCACCACCTCATCATCATCACCACCACCACCTTATCATCACCACAACCTCATCATCATCACCACCTCATCATCACGACCACCTCATCATCATCACCACCACGTCATCATCACCACCTCATCATCACGACCACCTCATCATCACCACCACCTCATCATCACCACCACCACCTCATCATCATCACCACCACCTCATCATCACCACCTCATCATCATCATCACCACCTCATCATCATCATCACCACCTCATCATCATCACCACCACCTCATCATCATCACCACCACCTCAAAAAACCTGAACGCGATTTCGCACCAGCTGTTCTCGCGGTGTCGCCAAGTTGGCTGGGTAGGGTGGGCACCCTCACTGTACTCTGTTAGGGTGGGCACCCTCACTGTACTCTGTAAGGGTGGGCACCCTCACTGTACTCTGTTAGGGTGGGCACCCTCACTGTACTCTGTTAGGGTGGGCACCCTCACTGTACTCTGTTAGGGTGGGCACCCTCACTGTACTCTGTTAGGGTGGGCACCCTCACTGTACTCTGTTAGGGTGGGCACCCTCACTGTACTCTGTTAGGGTGGGCACCCTCACTGTACTCTGTTAGGGTGGGCACCCTCACTGTACTCTGTTAGGGTGGGCACCCTCACTGTACTCTGTTAGGGTGGGCACCCTCACTGTACTCTGTTAGGGTGGGCACCCTCACTGTACTCTGTTAGGGTGGGAACCCTCACTGTACTCTGTTAGGGTGGGCACCCTCACTGTACTCTGTTAGGGTGGGCACCCTCACTGTACTCTGTTAGGGTGGGCACCCTCACTGTACTCTGTTAGGGTGGGCACCCTCACTGTACTCTGTTAGGGTGGGCACCCTCACTGTACTCTGTTAGGGTGGGCACCCTCACTGTACTCTGTTAGGGTGGGCACCCTCACTGTACTCTGTTAGGGTGGGCACCCTCACTGTACTCTGTTAGGGTGGGCACCCTCACTGTACTCTGTTAGGGTGGGCACCCTCACTGTACTCTGTTAGGGTGGGCACCCTCACTGTACTCTGTTAGGGTGGGCACCCTCACTGTACTCTGTTAGGGTGGGCACCCTCACTGTACTCTGTTAGGGTGGGCACCCTCACTGTACTCTGTTAGGGTGGGCACCCTCACTGTACTCTGTTAGGGTGGGCACCCTCACTGTACTCTGTTAGGGTGGGCACCCTCACTGTACTCTGTTAGGGTGGGCACCCTCACTGTACTCTGTTAGGGTGGGCACCCTCACTGTACTCTGTTAGGGTGGGCACCCTCACTGTACTCTGTTAGGGTGGGCACCCTCACTGTACTCTGTTAGGGTGGGCACCCTCACTGTACTCTGTTAGGGTGGGCACCCTCACTGTACTCTGTTAGGGTGGGCACCCTCACTGTACTCTGTTAGGGTGGGGCACCCTCACTGTACTCTGTTAGGGTGGACACCCTCACTGTACTCTGTTAGGGTGGGCACCATCACTGTACTCTGTTAGGGTGGGCACCTTCACTGTACTCTGTTAGGGTGGACACCCTCACTGTACTCTGTTAGGGTGGGCACCATCACTGTACTCTGTTAGGGTGGGCACCCTCACTGCACTCTGTTAGGGTGGACACCCTCACTGTACTCTGTTAGGGTGGGCACCATCACTGTACTCTGTTAGGGTGGGCACCCTCACTGTACTCTGTGTTGGTGCTATTCATTAATTAAGTGTTTTTATTAATCGATGGGCTAATTAATTGTTGATACCCCGAGTGGGCCGCTCCTGTGACCTCAACACTCAACTCAGTGAGACCCGCGGACCCAATCGCGTCTACAGCAGCAGTAGTAGCAGTAGCGTTAGTAGCAGCAGCAGTAGTAGCAGCAGTAGTAGCAGTAGTAGTAGCAGCAGTAGTAGTAGCAGTAGCAGCAGTAGTAGTAGCGTTAGTAGCAGCAGCAGTAGTAGTAGCAGCAGTAGTAGCAGTAGTAGTAGCAGCAGTAGCAGCAGCAGTAGTAGTAGCAGTAGCGTTAGTAGCAGTAGTAGCACTAGCGTTAGTAGTAGCAGTAGCGTTAGTAGCTTTAGCAGCAGCAGTAGTAGCAGTAGCAGCAGTAGTAGCAGTAGCAGTAGCGTTAGTAGCAGCAGCAGTAGCAGCAGTAGTAGTAGCAGTAGTAGCAGCAGCAATAGTAGCAGCAGTAGTAGTAGCAGCAGTAGTAGCAGCAGCAGTAGTAGTAGCAGCAGTAGCAGCAGCAGTAGTAGCTGTAGTAGCAGTAGCAGCAGTAGTAGTAGCAGCAGCAGTAGCAGCAGTAGTAGCAGTAGTAGTAGCAGCAGCAGTAGTAGCAGTAGTAGTAGCAGTAGCAGCAGCAGTAGTAGTAGCAGCAGCAGTAGTAGTAGCAGAAGTAGTAGTAGCAGCAGTAGTAGCAGCAGCAGTAGTAGCAGTAGCAGCAGTAGTAGTAGCAGCAGTAGTAGTAGCAGCAGCAGTAGTAGTAGTAGCAGCAATAGTAGTAGCAGCAGTAGTAGTAGCAGCAGTAGTAGCAGTAGCAGCAGCAGTAGTAGCAGTAGCAGCAGTAGTAGTAGCAGCAGTAGTATCAGTAGCAGCAGTAGTAGCTGCAGTAGTAGCAGCAGTAGTAGTAGCAGCAGTAGTAGTAGCAGCAGCAGTAGTAGTAGCAGTAGTAGCAGCAGTAGTAGTAGCAGTAGTAGTAGCAGTAGTAGCAGCAGTAGCACCAGCAGCAGCAGTAGCTGCAGTAGCAGCAGTAGCAGCAGCAGTAGCGTTAGTAGCAGTAGCAGCAGTAGTAGTAGCAGCAGTAGCAGCAGCAGCAGAGAGAGAGGACGACTCAGAGACCCACAGACTCATCGCATGTGAAGGTGGGATGGACCAAGTGATGACAAGTGTTTTTTTATACTACACGTGGGAGGAAGTTGGAGCACCCAGGGCGAAACACTCTATCCCACCTCCAATTAGCACGGTTGGCCACGAAAGAAATGTAACATACCCACACACTCACACGCACACTCACCCACCCACTCACCCGCACACTCACCCGCACACTCACCCACCCACTCACCCACCCACTCATCCACCCACTCATCCACCCACTCATCCTCACACTCACCCACACACTCACCCACACGCGCATCCACCCACACGCTCATCCAACAACAACAACAACAACCGCCATTCACCACTAAGTGGCGGTGACGTCACCACGACGCTTGTGCCAGGCTATGTGCACCCTGAGGCCACGTGAAGTGTCGAACGCCCGCTGGCAGGAGGTCACGGGGCAGACCCAGGTGCCACGGGTCGACTGACTGAGATGACTGGCTGATGCACCACCTGTGCCCCCTACTGTGCCAACTGCTGTGCTTTAGCCACCCGGCGCTCCGCTCGTTATTGTGAGCGTCGCTCCTCCGCCCTCCGTTGTTGCTGGAGGGCGACTGCCTCCAACTGCCCAGTAGCATCCTTCACGAGCCTCCTCCACAGAGGCCGATCTTGACACCGCTGGTACCAGTCATCGGCAAGTCCACTCAGCTCCACGTCCTCCTGTACCACATCACTCCATCTCTTCTCTAGCCCGTGCCGCGGCCGTTTAGCCCCCTCAATCCGGCCGAACAAAAGCTGTTTCGGCATGCGGTGGCTGGGCATGCGGGCTACATGACCCAGCCATCGCAGCCTTGCCCGCCGGAGGAGCTCACCGATGGGACCTTGCCCAGATCTTTCAAGGATTTGTGAGCTCCTCACACAATCCAGTCTGGTTAAACCCAGGATGGATCGTAGGCAGGCCAGCCTAAATGTTTCCAACCGGCGAAGATGTTCCATTACGGGGGTTCCACGTTTCGCAAGCGTAGAGAAGGGAGAGAATGACCGTGGCCGAGAAGACCCACCCACACACCCATCCACACGCTCA